GTATACGGGAGGATGTGTGTGGGTTCTATACAAATACTATGCCATTTTATATAATGGACTTGTGCATCTGCAGATTTTGATAATGTGCTGGGGGTCCTGGAACCAATCCCTGCAGATACTGAGGGACGAATATAATCCAGCAGGGAGGGGTCCTCAGCTTCTGAGGAGTTGAGTCTTCCAGTAGGCATCTGTCTCCACATCTATTGGTGGAGTAATCCTACCACCAAATAGGGAAGACTGCAGCCCTCTTAAGGACATAAGATACAACACACGGATAGTACTAGCTACTGGGGAGGCTGAGGCAGAGGATCTATTGCGCCCAGGAGTTTGAGGCTGTATTCCAGCCTGCTCAAGAGAGCAAAACCCTGCCTCTTTAAAAAAAAAAGGGGGGAGTCACGAGAGTCACTAGGTGAGCTCAGACTGCTCACACCCTGCCTTCCCTCCCACATTAGACTTGGTTGGGCCACACTGGATAACTTCCTCAACTGGGAGTCTTAAACCAACCAAAGATTTTTACAATTAGAAGCATCACATCCTACATCAGCCACTAGGTGGACCCCACATTGGAGAATGCCGGCTTTCTCCAAGAGTTCTGTAAATAGAACTGCCAAATTTCACAGCTAGCCATAGCAAGTTATAGAAGCCCAAGGTCCTGCCAGGGCAGGCACCAAGACTAACCATTCTCAAAATATTAAACACCTATATGTCATAGTCTGTGTTCAGAAGAAATAATAGGCAATGTCTGTCTTCTCTGAGTTCCAAGAGAAAGAGACAGACACACACACACCCAGTGTACATGACACTTCTCATGTCTCCCAGGCTCTTTGCCATGTGCTTTTCAAGCCCTATCTCTTATTTTCAAAGGTTAAGAACTTGTTCCAGTTCACTTGGCAGAACCAGGATTAAATCTGAACTGTGTTTGCCTGGTAAGACCATGTTCTGTCCTCTGCACCATCCCGTCCTTCTCAAACACTTCGCGGGAGGTGAGGTGTGAACCAGGCTACCCAGAGGCACATGAGACAAAGCTAACTCTGACTAGAGAAGTCCTGGAGGACATCAGAGGGGAGGTGTTTCTTCAGGACCAGTTAGATGGGCTTGAAATGAAAGGAATTCCAGGGAGAAAGCAGCAAACATTTCCCTAAGAACTTTGCAGATGCAGCAACCAGGCTTTGATGGTGATAGGAGCCCAGAGCAGGGGGAAGTTTGGGATGTGCTGGGGGAGGGGGATTTGGCCATGATTAAGTCAGGGAAGGATGAGGCAAGGGCCATTAAGAGCCTCCACATTCAGTTAAGGAGTTCAGATATGGTCCACAGGCACCAGGAAGCCATCAAAGGCTCTGAGAGAGAGAAACTTTTGATGTTAAATTTAAATGGTCACTTTTTATTCCATGAAGGCATATATACAACTCAGTGCCTCCTTTGAAAAGAAAAAAAAAATTCCTTTAAAACATATGTATGTGAAGTCTGGTCCATCTCTTTAATTTTATTCTGTACCATATGGCACTCTGTATTTTTAGAATAGGAGTCGAGGATTGACTTCACAGATCAAAACTTAATAAGAGAAATCTCGTCTGTTCTTTTAATTTTTTTCCATTATAGCCAATGCCCAATTTACCAGTCTAATAACAGGAAGTGGTGAGATCATATGACAACTCGTAAAGTGCTGAGCCACGTCTGGTACATACTGTAGCCAATAGAGGGGTCTGGGAAATACACACATACACAGTGACATTCATTTCCGTGGGAATAAAGTAATTTCAGCCCTATCTCATGGAGAATTGAAAGACACACACAGGTGCAAGTGAACACACATGCAGTGAAGAAAATGAGAGGCATCAAAAAATAGCTGTTATACCAAGCTGAGGTACAGCATCTAAAAGAAAGGTTTTAGGCATTCAGAAGCTAGAATTTACTTTCATAGCAGATTTTCTAAGTAAACTCGTGCTAAACGTTTCTAAGAACTTTCCTCAAAGAGTCTCTGTACTGATTGATACACTACTCACACATCAAGGCTATGCTGCCACTAGCCAAACAAACATCTGAATGAAAACTTTAATCATTTCATTGTTTCCAAGTGCCTAGATGTTTTAAGTTGATAAGACATCTAGACCCTGGCTGAAATTTTGGTCTTTATCAGATGTTTGTCTTTTATCAGATAGACTCTCAAAGAGAAATCTAACTGGAGAAAGTTAAAAACCCCCGTATCAATTGGAGTGCTTCAAAGCTTAGGGAAGTTAAACGACACGCCTCCTGTCACAGAGCCGGCAAGAGGCCGGGCAGAGTTTAAGTCCTGGTCTGTTGGAGACCTGAGTCTGTTTCCTTTCCATGACACCCACTGCCTCAACAATGACTTGCTTAGCAGATTCTGAAGCACGGGATGAATGACAGGCCTTTCAAAATTTATAACTTTTTCAGTTTATGTGAAGAAAAGGAAATGAGTAGAAAAGACATTAAATAACATGCCCCAAACTCATCGTGCAAAGGCGAACCGGTCAGTTGGCCTCAAAGCAGATGATCGCATTCATTTCCACAGGGTAGAGCGTGCTTACCAAGTGTTCTAGAATGTTAAAACTAGAAAGAGCATTAAGTGCCACTGGGGCTACTTCTCCTTTTGAGGGTGAGTTTCTACATTCAAAACAACAAGGGAAGAACAGGCAGACCAAAGTTCTCCAATGTCAGTAATTGGGCGGTTTGCTTACATTTCTACACTTTTATCTACACTTGCTCTAAGCGCTATCGCACCTGCTAAAATGTCAGCTTCACGAAGCAGGAACAGAAATGTAAACATTTGTGCTTTTTAGCCAGGAGAAAAGGCTCTGGTTTGGGTAAAGAAATGAGGAATTTTTTTCTCACCGGGATACCGACTTTCACGTTAGAAATGTTCCATTGTCTCCACCTTGTGGACACTATCAATACTACATCAAAATAAATTCACTAACCATCTGTCCAGAATTAAAAGGCTGGCCCAAGAATAAAATAAACTCTTTATTACAGGATACAAAAACCTCAGAACCACCAGGACTTTTTTTGTAGTATATTGGAAATGTGAATTGGTAATGATAAACTTAAGGCCATGCTGGATAAAGTCTTCTAAACAACAATAAAAACGTTAAATTATGTGCAATTCAGTTTTACTTAATAGATAAATGCTATTGTTTTTTCATGTTGATGGAAAAGAAATAAAAACTGATGCTCTAAGTTGACTAGATCATTTAATTTATGAATCCATTAAGTTTCCCAGCCATTCTAGAGAGCAGAAATTTGTTATACTGTCAGGGTTTTGCGGCTCCTGTTTTCAAAGTTTTCACTAGGCCAATTTAGTTCTAAAAGTAATAGGCTGAAAATCAAAGCACCTCTGTGTCTAAGGTTTTAATAAAATAAAAACAATCTAATTATAGGTTGACTAAGCAAAATTAAATTAATTTTGAAATAAACTCTAGCAGTTGTAATATTTCCATAAAGCAAGAAAATGTCAAATGACAGGATAAGATAGTGGGAAAGGAAAGGGTCTGGAGCAGGGGTCCTCACACTTTTTAAACAGGGGGCCAGTTCACTGTCCCTCAGACTATTAGAGGGATGGACTGTGGGCTCCAGGATGAGTTGGCTGCTAAGTAGGACAGGCAGCGGTGGCAAAAACACCTGATAGGCCAGATAAATGTCCTAGGCAGGCCACATGTGGCCCGTGGGCCGTAGTTTGAGGACGCCTGGTCTGGAGCCATGAGCTTTGGGCTCTTAATAGTTGCAGAACCCCAGGCAAGTTATTAAACATTCCCAGACTTCAGTTTCCTCATGTGTAAAAGGAGATGATTATGCCACCTGCTACAGAGGACAGCTGTGAGGATAGACCCAGAGAGTATATGGAAAGCACCTAGCACAGTCCTTGGCCTACAGTAGGAAAGTTGGCTAGTATTTAAATTATAAAAGTGCTTATTCTCCCATGGGGTTCTTGATCGCTATTTGCATGGAAATGAGTAGTATGATCATTACTTCCGATTATTCCAATCTGTCGTTTTGATTGCTAGAATCTTATAGGTAGAAAAGATCTTGGAGAAACTTCCGGGCAAGTAATGCTAACAGACAAAGTCTCAGGCAAGTGAATTAAGGAGATGCACCTTAAGTTTACACAGCCAGCTGACAGCACAGCAAATACAAAGGCAGTGCCCGCTCTCTCTAGAAGGGTCCTTAAATGTCATCTCATCGCTCCACCTTTACATGTGAGCAAACTAAGAAGCAGGGAATTCTGGTTTGTTCCTTCATTCGCTGATCACACGTTCACTAACTCAGCAATATTTATAAGCTCCTAGTATAGACAACGCACTGGGCATTTGTTGAACGAGCAAGAATGTTCTGGCTTCATGGTGCTTAATGCTGTGCAGAGTGACCAGGGAGACAATGAAAGGTAAATACATAATCAAGACAATTTCAAATGGTCACAAGCTTTCAAAGTAGCCTAACACAGGGTGATGGGGCCACGGGCAGGAGGCAGAACAAAGATCTATCTCAAATTAAATGGCTAAGGAGGGATGGTCTAAGGAGGTATCAGATAAGCAGCAAAAGGACCCAGCTCTGCACAGGTCTGGGGAACAGACCCAGGCTGGAAACAGAGTACAAAGACGATGAGGCAGAACAAAGCATGAGCAGACAGAGGCCTGGAAGGGACAGCCGCTGCAGGGTGGCACGAGGACATGTAAGAGTTAGGCATGCACCAGATCCCTCAGGGCCAGGTGGGCCATGCTTAGGAGTCCTCTGTGCAAGGTTTGATTTAAGGAACTGACGCAACTTGGCTTGTTTACATGGGTCACTCTGGTGCTTGGAGGAGCCTTGTGAGGTATTGGCCAAGCATAGACCAGCCAGGCCTTCTGACCCACAGCCCAGTTGTGCTCCCAACCACACCATGTAGCCTTTGACATGGGCCGTGGAAACCGAGGCAGAAAGTTTGACCTCTGGAGAACTTAAATAAAGCCCCATTCTGCAAAAAGAGAGCAGCCCTGGGTACTTACCCACTGGTAATGTCATCAGCCCTGATGTTCTTGCTCAGAACGTCCCCGTCACTCATGTAGCCAGGGGCGTCCATGCTGATGCCTTCCAGGTCCACCTCATCTCCTGCCTTGTCTGAGACGTCCACATGGCAGATGCTGCTGCCCCTCGAGGCCAGTTGCCTTCTCAGAGGGGCAGAGTACACATAGCGACTGGACTCGGTGTTGATGAACCGGCTGGCATTGGCTCGAGGCGGGTACCCATTGCCCATCGAGGGTGCATCTCCTGCTTGGAGCCGAGGGCTGGACTGGCCCAGGCGCCAGGACAGAGGGGTAGGCCTCCCTGTCAAGCTGAGGATGCTGCGCCCACTGATCTCCGTGGTGACATTGGTGTCAAACGTGGTTTCTAATGTGCTAAAAACAGAGAACGAGCCTGGATTAGCCCCTGATATGCCTGGTATCCTTTGCAGTTCAGATGTGCTTATTTTTTTTCTTTAGAATTATGAATATGTCTCATGCAAACACAAACAAAAAGATAAAACAAAAGGCCCCAATACACCACCCAGTGTATCTCCTCTGTTAAAAATGCAAAGAAGAAGTTACACATCTGCACAATATTTTGAAAAGCCCAGCAGAAACTTCCCCCCCTAAAACATGGTACAAGAAACCCACCATCGATGACTTTAATTAAATGATCATAACTGCTGGAGTTTTCTTTCTAATCCAAGAGAAGAAACAGAACATGCTACACTGACACTTCCAAGGCACGAAGGTTCCTGCGTGCCCATTTGTTTAGGATACTGCATCAGAGAGCTCCTTTTCTAATACAGTGCACCAGCCCATCGGGAGTTCCTAACGCCGTATTTCATATCCTCAGCTCCCTGCTGACTGAGCAGGTGGAGAAAGCCCTGATTTTCCAACCGTCCAAGGTCCATTTACCCCAGATAGTCTCCTGTAATTCATCCAAAATGATTGAAAAGATTGGTAAATGCCAAGGCTTAAGTTCCCCCATAAATCAAGTTGCATGGATTGGGATCTGCCAGGAGACTGGGCTCATCCCAGGGCCCCAGGAAGACCTTTCGGAGCCCCCGGCCTGGATAACCTGCAGGCTCCTGTGGCATAGTTGACACCATCATCTGTACCTCTTCAGAACTGCCCTAGGATCTCCTAATCAAGCAGAGAGTGAGACTCTTGGCTATAAAAGAACCCCCTGGAGCCTCCTTCTTGTCGTCATCACTATTCCACCCTCCAACCTCTGTACCAGCATTAAGTCAGAGTTGGGGACTATGGTGGAGAGAGAGGTGTTTCAGACCTAGTCAGAGGGTTGTAAGATCCAGCAGCTGACACCACATCATTCCAACATCTAGAGGTTCAGGAGAGCACCACCCCGAAACCCCAGGTTCATTGTCCTCTGGAAGGGGCAGTTTGGTGGCCTGAGCTGTTTCTGTTTCCCTCTGATCCTAGAAGGGGCCTTGCTTTCCTCATCTTAGTCCCTTGGTTTGGGGTCCTGGTCCTGCTAAAGACAGAACCTAGGGTGGTCACCCCGGATCTGCCCAAACCACTGCTGATGAGGGAGCCACCGTCTCCTCACTGCTGTCACTTATCAAAGAAACTGAAACTGGAGAAGCAAAGGCAGGTTCCAGGGGTTCAGCTGGGGTCACGAGGACTTTTCCTAGATTTCTACAAACGGCAAAACCTTCTTCTGCCAAAATCACGAAGGACACCCCAAGGTTACATCCTCTTCAACTTCTTGTTTGACAATGAAAGCAACCTGATCAATGTTCCCAATGTCATCCCAGCTTCTCATCCAAGTAAATCATAGTTTAAACATGATCATAAGTTTTTATAAATATTTCTTTATGTGTTTTATGCACATGCATGACTAACAATATTACAGAGTGTTGCGTATCAGAAGACAGGGTAGGAATTCAAGTTATTCAATTTCTCACACAGGTCAAATGCAGTTCACCTGCTTGCTTCGACAGCACAATATAGTTTTAGAAAAGGCAAGTAGAGTGAATTTAAATAGAGCTGGTCTGTAGTATCCGCTACAGAAGGAATTTTACAACCTTCTGCTGTGGGGAGGAATCAGACTATACTAAGGTTGATTCCTGATAACTCTTTTTTTGCATGTTGCATACATTCTTTGTGAATTCCAGCACATTTGGAGAGAAAGGTTATTTATTCCATTATTAACCAAATCACTTCGCCAGTGGTATGAACATGGGAGAAGCAGTGAAAATCAAGATACCAGCTGGTTCAGTCATTACTCATGCTGCAGATACCTGTGTGTAACCTGAGTTCCCCGTAAACTAGACATGGTTTCCTCCAAATTCTGCCGCAGATCAGCGATGTTCTTCACTGTCCGCAGCCGCCGAGCCTCGGGATCTTCTCCTGAAAAGATGGGGTTGAGGTTAGTTTAATTCTTCAATAGATCGTGGGCTTGATGAGGGCAGCAACCACATCCAGAACCACAACTGTATTCCGTGCTCGTGCCTGGCTGGCCATGGGCGCTTACTAAGCATTTGAGAATGAACAATGATTGCATGGATGCTCAAAGGAAGTGTTAAGTCCAAGGAGATTTTAATTCCTTCAGGTCCCTCCTGAACCAGGTGGAGACAAGCGCAGAGGAGAAGCAAAGTGTCTAGTGTGAGACATTAATACATTTTCATCCTGTCTCCAATAGAGACACGCTCAGGTGAGGGCCAACCCCTTTCTGGAAATCATTTTCTGCCCATGCAGAAGTGTGTGGCCTCTTGTTTGCTCACCTACTGGTAATATCTGCAGCTGTCTACAGGGGCTACTTTACAAACAGAGCTCACAGTGGTGCAAAGATCTGCTCTTGTTAATCACAAATATTTCTATGGAGAGAGGTCTGCCCTCTTCCTTGTTGCGTGTGTCATGTCATCTCAAATTCAAGCTCCTCCCTTTACTTACTGGCTGTGTGACTGCGGGAAAGTGCTGGCCCTCTCTATCCTTCAGATTCCACCTCCCGAAAATGAGCACAGTAATAGGGCTAATCTCCAAGGGCAGCTGGGGGATGGAATGGGATTGGGCCTGGAAGTCCCCCAGCACAAAGCCTGTCACCAGCACTCAGTACAGGCCAAGTGGGGCTGCAGAGTGGGGGGCCGTCAACAAACAGCTGGGTTCTCATTGGCAGGACCACAGCCTTCCATTCTCTGGGCACAGTTTTCCAAAAGACACTTGGCTGGGCAGAGTTCTAGTGGTGCTAATGTCCCACAAGGAATACACAGCACACAAGCTAGGATGCCCTGTGCCCTCTCAGGCACAGCTTGTTTCAGGTTCTCTGGCTATTCTGCTTCATTTGGCCTTAAAAGCAGAGGAAGAGAGGAGGAAAAAACTACAATGATGACTAACAGAATCATAGATTTTCTCCCCTAGAGTAATTCCAGAGAGTGCTGAGAAGACGGAGAACCATCACCAATGGTCTTAAAAGCCTGTGTCTGTTGTGAAGTGCTGAGCAGCATTAAAAGTAATCTCCACATAGAACACAGTCCTCGCGGGCAGCAGCAGATGGGACCGATGTCAGACACTCAGTTGAACTTCCCACAATTGTCATTAACAGGGCAACAGGCAGCTAAGAAATGTCACAGAATTAACTTCTGTTCTAAAACAGGTAACAATGTCCTTAGGTTGTTCTTGGCATGGTGGTGCTTGGAGGCTGGGGGTGGCATAAGTGACAGATGTGTGACTTTATGGAGGGAATTTACTATAGCTAACTCTATCCTTGAAAACGCAAGTGTTGCCAGCACGGTGGCTCACGCCTATAATCTTAGCACTCTGGGAGGCCAAGGCAGGCGGATCACTTGAGCTCACAAGTTCAAAACCAGACTGAGCCAGAGTGAGACCCTGTCTCTAAAAATACCTGGGCATGGTGGTGGGTGTCTGTACTCAGGAAGCAGAGGCAAGAGGATTGCTTAAGCCCAAGAGTTTGAGGCTGCTGTGAACTATGACAGCACAGCACTCAACCCAGGGAGACTAAGACTCTGTCTCAAAAAAAAGAAAAAAGAAAACGAGGGTGGCGCTTGTGGCTCAGTGGGTAGGGCGCTGGCTCCATATACCAAGTGTGGTGGGTTCAAACCCAACCCCGGTCAGCTAAAACAGGAGTGGCAACTGTAACAAAAAATAGCTGGGCGTTCTATAGTCCCAGCTTCTTGGGAGGCTGAGGCAAGAGGATCACTTGAGCCCAAGAACTGGAGGTTGCTGTGAGCTGTGACACCACAGTACTCTACCGAGGGCAACAGAGTAAGACTCTGTCTCAGAAAAAAAGAAAAGAAAACAAAAGTGTTTTCAATCCTCGCTCACTCTTTTGAACCCAGAGAAATCTGGAAAGTATTTTTTTCTTATCTGAAAAGCAATGTCTCATTTCCCACCCAATTTTTTAAAACACACATATGCTGCATGTAGGTGTTTTTATACAAAAGTAATGATGAATGTCTATTATACCTTTACCCAATGGCCCAATGGAAAAATGAAATTGAATCCATCTCCTGGGCCAGCAACCAAATCTTTGACTGCTAATTTGGCCACAAACTAGCTATTCTATTCTATTCTACTGAGAAGAGGAAAGCTTCTCTATTTGGCTGCCACAAAGGTAACGATGCTCCGGACAGCTCTGAGCCCTGTAGGAAGCACTGATTAGGAAGTTAAGTGTCGGCTCAGCGCCTGTGGCTCAAGTGGCTAAGGCACCAGCCACATACACCTAAGGTGGTGGGTTCGAATCTAGCCCGGGCCCGCCAAACAACAATGACGGCTGCAACCAAAAAATAGCCGGGTGTTATGGTGGGCGCCTGTGGTCCCAGCTACTTGGAAGGCTGAGGCAGGAGACTTGCTTGAGCCCAGGAGTTGGAGGTTGCTGTGAGCTGTGATGTCATGGCAACACAGGGCAACAGCTTGAGGCTCTGTCTCAAAAAAAAAAAAAAACCAAGGAAGTTAAGTGTAAGCACAGGCCTTTAAGTTGCCTCCATAAATTAACACAAATTAATTTATATACAGTAAGTATCATAACTATATTTACCTATCCTTGACAGCATTAATGACGTATTTATCTGTCTTAACCCCGCTTTGGAAATGCAAAGATCTTTGAGAGAGGAATGAAATCGCACCTTTACGTTTGGTAACCTTCATACAAATCTACAGGGGCCTAAGAGATCTTTACTGTCCAACTCAGGTATGGTCAGTGTGGGGCTGTAGGAAAAGCATGCGTGTTCTCAGGGCACTGCCGCTCACTGGCCACTTGACCGTGGACAAGTCGCTCATCTTTGCTGTACTGCATCTATAAAGTGGGGCAAAAACTGCCCTTTAGAAGGGTTAATATGAGAACCAGATAAGAGGGTACATAGGAAACACCTCGCACTAAACGAGGGCATGTGAGCACATGTGAGCATCTTGGTCCCTTCTCGGGGGTTCTGCTGGGAAATGTCCGTGCTTCTCAGAGCCCTACACTACAACAGACCCTAAGGGTAATGGAGAAAGAGGAAACAATAATCCACTGGGCTGACTCAGGTGATCACATTCTGAACCGCCAACCATGCCTCCTTGGACGATGGCCTAACTGTAAGATTTACCCACCAACTCACAGCATGAGCACGATGAAAATACAACTAAGTGGGCACAGGAGGGCGAGTAAGCTATTCTGTGTCTACATGCAATCATCACGACTTTGCCAGGACAGCTGGACCTCAGGCCACCGGCCAGGACTAAGAGCACCGCGCTCTGATTAACTAACTACGACTATGTTGGGAGGATACCAAGGTGTTACCAAAGGAACAGGCAGGAATGCAGGATTTTTACTCAGAAGAGGAAAGCTTCAGGGGTGTGCTACTATGTGGGAAAGAACGGGAATTGTCCCTGGGCTTCAGGAGGCTGAATTATATCCAGTGATTGGGCAATGTGGGGAAATGGGAGAATAAAGAACTCCATTATCTGTTAAAGCCAACCAAAAGAGAAGGGCCGCCTTATGAAAGAATAACCTTTCTATCACAAGGAACGTTCAAGCAGAGGCTGAAAGATGAGCCACACGGCAGCTGTAGAAGGAATTCTTGGGCTGGATAATAAGCAGATGTGTATGGTTCCTTCTAACTCTACAGCCCAAGATGCATTTCTCAAAACAGAACGCTATGGACATGACAACCCACTACAGGAAATCCACTATTTGCATAAACAAGGGGGAGAACTGAGCAATTAATCAAACAGTCCTATAAATGTTCATTTTTATTTTTTTATTTGTATTTTTTTAGAGACAGAGTCTCGCTCTGTTTCCTATACTAGAATGCCCCAGCTGCAGCCTCACTGACTGTAACCTCAAAGTCCTGGGTTTGAGCAACCTTCCTACCTCAGCCTCCCAAGTAGCTGGGACTATAGGCGCCTGCCACAACGGCTGACTAATTTTTCTATTTTTAGTAGAGACAGGGTACTGCTCTTGCTCAGGCTGGTCTCTAACTCCTGAGCTTAAGCAATCCTCCCACCTTGGCCTCCCACAGTGTTAGGTGTGAGCTACCTCGCTGGCCTGCTTTTTTCAAATGTGGATTTTGCTGAGACTCAATGTCTGACATGAACCCACACATCTGAGCCGCACGGGGCTCTAAAGCACTGGTGTGCCTCTTTTGATGTGTGCACAGAAAAACACAATCTGGAATGTGTACGGAGACCTGAGCCGGCATCTGAACTCCATGCCCTTCTCACGGCTGGTCCTTTCCCCACACTACCTATGTACTCACGCAAGGGAACTATAAACCTTGAAGACAGGGGAAACATAAAAATCAGTCCCAAATGTGGGGCTCTGAACCATTCTAAGATGGATCAATTACAAACGGCTTGATAAATCTCTGCACCATCACTGTGCCCAGCCAGTGGAACCAGAAGGAAATAGTTAAATCACCAGATCCTCTGAAATTAATACTCAGAGCTAATGGCAAGATGGGTAAGATTCAATCACATGGGCGGCTGACCAATTCCACAGCCGTAATGCGACTATTAAAAAGATGGAGTCATGGATATTTAGTTTAATGAATGGATTTTAAAACATGGATTCAATTTTTAACCCAATTCTAGAAGTGGTAAGATGTGAGAGGAGCAACCGCACCACGGCTAAATATGTGGTTTGCCGCTTGCTTCCCTTACCAGAAGTCGCTGGAACATGGACACAAAACTAGGGAATGGGAAGACAGACAGAAAACGACAGCCTGGAACACACCACAGTCGAAATTCTAATTCAGGTGTCACTTACCTTCTTTAAGAAATACAACAACATAACATCAGGAAGTAAATGTTTGTGGAATTAACTGTGGGTTTTATGCTTCTATAACGTATCATGTTCCTGTAATCGATGTCATCCAGGTAATACTTAAATAAAATTTAGATTTTTTTTTTGGTTGTTTTTGCCAAAAGAAGCATGCTACCATCTTCTTTCCAATAAATGGAGGATGCTGAGAACATATTTTCAAACAGTGCTTACATATAGCAATGAAAAAGAAATCCAATATTTTAGAGCTCCAAATCTTATTGAAAAGCAACTTTATCTGAAGAGCAAATAAAGAGATTTAAAGTTAAGTATCTGAGGAAGCCAGAGCCCCTCAATAAACAAAATTGAACGTATCTTTAAAATAGGATTTGCCAGCAGGTAAGAGACTTATTTATAATTCTGAGGAGGAGGAGAGAGATGGTAAGTGAGAGAGAAAAGAACAGAAAAAGGACAACAACGAAGGAAGCCAGCAAGTAAGTTTGTTTAGTTCACCCATCAATGCAACTGTAAAGCAACTTTCAATCAAGCTGGGCTCATGCCGCTTCACCAAGTGGTGGCATGGGAGGCCTCGCCACCCATAGACACAGAATTTCTGGGGCCCCATACTCACCAGTGAGCTCTTCCAGAGCAGGCTGTCCACTCTTGGTGTAGTGGCTGGGCTCCATACTCACACCCGCGGAGCTGGACTCGGCAGTAACATTCCCTTCCGTGTCTGTCTGGGACCTTCACACACAAACCAAAGAGAGACGCACTTGTCACTAGAGGTAACAAACTATCACATCTGGACCACTGGTCTGACCACAGCCCTTACCATCACCTCCTCCAGCAAAAAGCTTTAAAAAACAGCAGACTAGCAGAATGATGCTAAATAATTCATTAGCCACACGTGGAACAACATCCTAGCGGAGAAAGCCACTGATTTGTAAAAGATGAAATAGTCATTGCCCAAATGGAGGGTCTGCAGTCCTCCACTGGAGAACATGTCTCGGAATCCCCTTCAGGGAGACAGGTCTAGCCAGACAGATGCTAGAGGGTACTGGGTGCTTTGGATCATTTAACCTATGCCAAAAAAGCAACTTCTAAGTAACCAGTAATGCCAGCAAGTCAAGCATAAGGCTGACTCCACTGACAGCACCCCCTCCCTCCCGCCCCAAAGCCTCATGACAGCTCTCTCTGAAAAGGTAAAACCAGTTGGGAATGGGTGCCAAGCAGGTGTGTTTGCCCTCCAGGTTTCTGATTCAGAGCTCAGATCTTCTGACATGAAAGGTCTCATTGATCATTATTTCAACACTCAACTGAAATCTGTACTTCCCCAAACCTTCCCCATGCCCTTATTTGTCAAGCAAATTGAGGCAATGGCTTAATGCAATATTTTCTTACCACAACTACCTCTGTTCATTCATGTGTGGCATGCAAATGTTTAACTACACTCAGATGCATAACCCTGAGTGTAACATTATTAACTCATTAGCATTCCGAGCTAATTCAACCAGATTTTGCTTCCTATGAAGGTGTTTGCCAACGACGTGAACGGACCATGGAGGATGTGCTGATAAAGCTAAAGTCACCCACCCAGCCTTCCCGCTTTTGCTCTCCTGCCCAGGCTGTCACTCCTCAATCCTGTGATCTTTATTTTTAAAGGATTTTCATAATTTCAATATTCCTCTTCACCCCAACCATGGTCTAAGCCTTCATCATCTCTGCCTTGGCTTTTTAAAAATTATTTTTTATTAACTCATAACTTTGTACATTGATGCATTTATGGGGTCTAAGGTACTGCTTTGATATACAATGCAAAATGCTTACATTGAACTAAGTAACATATCCATCACAATTATACTCATTTCTTAATAGTTTTGAAATGTACCATTGCATCATGCACATTAGGTGAGGTCCCCCCAAATACCCTCCCTTCTCCCATATTCCCCCCTCTCCTCCCCTATCTCTCTCCTCTTCCCTTCTACTTTGTGGACTATAGTTATGTTTGCCATTCATATGAATATGTAGGTGGTTATATATTGATTTCATAGTAGTATGAGCACACTGGATACTTTTTTCCCCATTCTTGAAATACTTTACTAAGAAGGGTATGTTCTAGCTCCATCCAGGTAAACATAAAAGATGTGAAGTCTTCATCTTTTTATGGCTGCATAGTATTTCATGGTGTACATTTATGACAGTTTGTTAATCCATTGGTGGGTCGATGGGCACTTGAGCTGTTTCCATGTCTTGGCTGTTATGAACTGGGCTGCAATAAACATTCTGATGCTAGTGTCTTTGTTGTAAAATAATTTTTGATCATCTGGGTAGTAGATGATTCCTAGTAGAGGAATTGCAGGATCTAACCGTAGGTCTACTTTTAGTTCCTTGAGTGTTCTCCAAACTTCTTTCCAAAAAGGTTGTATTAGCTTGCATTCCCACCAGCAGTGTACAAAGGTTCCCTTCTCTCTGCATTCACGCCAACATCGGTAGTTTTGGGATTTTGTGACGTGGGCTAAACTTACTGGAGTTAGGTGATATCTCAAAGTGGTTTTGATTTGCACTGCTCTGATGATTAAGGATGATGAGCACTTTTTCATGTGTCTGTATCTGCCTATGCTTTATAAGTGCTTTGAAACAGGTATCCTGTTTCTAGCCTAGGGAGTTGCAAGCAGCAACCAGGTGTGAGAACCAGCCTGATTTATTCCTATTGGTCTGCATAATGTTTTAAATTGGCACAATTAGTTCAACATATAAAAATTAGGAGATTTCACAAGAAATACCTCGATGTCCACCTTCTCCCAGCTAAAACAAAAAAGTCTGGAAAGACTGAACACTTGTTCTCACATAGCGCCACCTGCTGGTGACAAGTGGTGGCTGTGACTTCAGAAGAGAAGAGGCGTGGAGGGTCTTCTGTCAGAGCCTGGCTCACTCTAAACCACCCATTTATATCACCTTTTTGGGTTAAGTAGGCATCTGAATCCATAATTTCCATTCTAGACTTTTCCTAAGTCTGATTTAATCCTCACAGGATCCTCCACTGACCTCTGAAATACTGATATGGTAATGTCACTCTCCCCAAAGGTTTCTGTCACTCACAGGAGGAGGACTTCCTGGGTGGATGATACCCATATCATGGGATTCTTCCCTCCTTTTTTGCCAGGCCCATCTCCTGCCATTCCCACCCTTTATACATAGCTCCACATTATGCTTCACTTTATGTGGCTTTTCTCCATTCCCAGTCATACCACGCCCTTGGTAGTGCTGTCTTTGCACTTACTGTGTCCTCTGCCTAATGGCCCTTCTCAGTCCTCCTCAGTTTGCTCCTAATCTGCCTTCATGATGCAGATGCACCATGTCATCTTGCCCTGGAAGCCTTCCCTGACTCTTGGCTAGCTGATCTCAACTCCTGACCAGTGTTTCTGTAGCACGCTCCTTATTCTCTTGTTGCCTACTTATCACAGTGTGATCTAATTAATAAATCTTTCCCTAAACTAGATCAAGAGCTCTCTGAAGGCAAGGGTTAGTTCAATTGCAAATGCTGAGCAGCCAACAAGAGTGTGCTGATTGAATAAATGAGAAAGTCTTAAGTCTCTAAAGAAGCTGGATGCTGGAAGGAACATTAGACTTGGAAGTTAGAACAGTTAGCTGGTTCCAGGTGGGAGATCCCTAACTAACTTGGCAGCCAGGCAGATGTGAGTTAAGTCACTTCACCACTTTGAATATCAGCATTCTCACCTGTACAAAAGGGATAGCAATAGAAATTTCTGGTTCTACTAAAATCAAACATGCCATGACACAAAAACATTTAGTAAATTATGTAGTAATAGGTGTCTGCTGTTATTTCTGAATTGATAAATGTAATCCATTCTGAGTGATTTAAAAAAATAGTACCTGTCTGGCTCAGCACCTGTAGCTCAGTGGTTAGGGCACCAGCCACATACACCAGGGCTAGTGGGTTCGAACCCAGCCTGTGCCTGCTAAATGACAATGACAACTACAACTACAACAACAAAATAGCTGGGTGTTATGGCAGGCACCTGTAGTCCCTGCTACTTGGGAGGCTGACGCAAGAGAATCACTTGAGCCCAAGTGTTTGAGGTTGCTGTGAGCTGTAATGCAACAGCACTCTATGGGGGTGGGGGGGTGAGATTCTGTCTCAAAAAAAAAAAAAAAGATCTTCTCTTTACCCATTGGTAACATCTTTAACATGGAGCAGTCCTAGGGGAGCAGGGAGCAAAGTAAGTTATACATAAGGAACCATAAACATGAGAGAATTTTAGGACAGCAGGGGAAGAGTTAAACATTTTTTAAAAACCTCAAATCTAGTCCAATCTCCTCACTGTATAGACGCAGCTCAGCGAGGATGTGATTTAGAGCATCAGGCCAGGACAGTGGTCAGAAGCCTGGTCCCAGGACTTACACAGACTTGGCTTTAAACAACATCAGCTCTTTTAGTTATTGGCTCTGTGACTTGGAGCAAATTACTTAATTATTCTAAGTCTCAATTAGCTCACGTATTGACTAGAAAAGCAGCAAGCTCATAGAGCGGTGGAAAGAATTAAGTGAACGAAGACACGAAAAGGGAGTCTCTGAACACACTCAGTGCACACTCAACAACTGTTTTTGCAGCTGGTGCCAAAGACTACCGAGGGTGTTGTGCGCTGATAAAGGTCAGGACCCCAGTGTCCCGCCTCCTATCCCCACCTCCCCTCCCAGACTTGCCTAAAGAGGAAGAAACCTCAGAGGGGCAAGAGACCATTACAGAAAGAGCATTAACGTTACAGTGGGGATAATCACATACACATCCTAGAGGTTTCTCCCTTCCTCCTCTCCGCCAGACATTTGGTCTTTACCTTTAAGAGTTGTTCTTCTCATAGAGAAGCTTGAAAGGAGGTTAAATGTTTTACAATCTTTGCAAAGACTACAGCCAAAAAAACAGAAGGAATGGGACTGATGGTGATCAGAGACTGCCATATATTTTAATTTTGAAAATGCAAATCAAGAATCTGTGAATAGCAGCTTGAATATGTATTATTTCACGACTATTAATGCTCTTTGAATTATGAAAACTTCACAGGGAGCTATTCAGCTGCTTCTATGCTTCAGAGAACAATTGCATTAAAGGCTGGGCATGCAGACGAGCTGAGTCATTATCTAAGGCTTGGCGCTCTCCGCAGGACTGTTAGCTGAACTGATGACTTGATTCAATAAAACCAGACTGTCTCCCAATTAAAAAGATTGGTGTGACCCTCCTGAAGGGGAAGGCCAGCAGAAGACAAGGGAGCAGGGGGGAGGGGTGGGGAAACTCGACAAAGCCTGACATTCTCTCACTGGCCGACGGTGGCTGGCTTTGCTCCGAAATCACTCAGGCTCCACTAGATACTGACAGGAATTGTAATGGAGCCCACTAGAAGGCAACTCGGGCAAGAGAGGGGAGCTATCTTACTTACTGAGGAGCCATACAAACACAGCAAGCTGAGTCTATGTACACATGTGTCTGCATGCATGCGTTTGCATTTTATAGAAGGATGTATACTCGTGGCCATACTTACATGTGACTGTCAAGGTTTCCACACCTATAGGTATGGCAGTGTATAGCTGTGTCTGTATATGTACTTAGGGGTCAGGGGTAATAAAATAAGCATCTATTGCAACATTCAATCATTAGTGTCCAGGTGCAGTGTGGCCCAACGCCCTGCACATCTCTAGCACGGGGTCCAGCTGAGTGCTGTGAGCAAAAGCTCTGGGAACTCCTCAATTCACTGTGCTGGGGAGCTTCCGTCTCCCTCCGTGGACACATCCACACATATCATGCAGCATCTGGGACCAATGTGAGCAATACACAATGTCACTGGCCAAAACCCTGCAGAGAAAGCAGCCGCTGGCTCCACAGTCTCCCATAGGCCTACGGATGTGCCATCAAACACACGGCAGGGTCAGGGGACAGACGCAAGTCAGAAGGACAGAATCACCCACAAACATATAGGCTTATCGCCTGGATTCACCGTGGGGTCTCTTGTCCTTCTAGAACCAGCCCCTCCCTCGCCATTACCCTTCCCACCTGTCAGAAAGCCCCAGCAGTGACTAGAGGATCTGGGCGTTCTAGGCAATCACTGCTATGAGAAGTCCCAGTCATTTCAGCAAGGTGGGTTTTGTGTACTTTTTTTTTTAAAGTTCACTGAGGATGAGTTAGGGCTGCTTCTGAGGCCTGCTGCTGACACGGGGCCACCTGCCCTGCACGTGCTAGCCTGCACATTTCAAGCTGCTGCCGGTATGAGAGCCCTGGGTCCCAGGTGCTCGGTGGGCTCCTGGCAGCAGTTCATTCTTTGCTTCCCCTCTCTAGCTTTCCCCACCCTCCAAGCCCCTGCTGTAGGAACTGCTCCCTGGAGCACACCACGCATGTCTATGTGGAACTTGTCATGTGGCACCTGGGCTCTTGCTTACGTGTTCCTGGAGGGGAACCTGGAGCCTACCCTCACAGAATCCACACAAAAGGTGCTGGTGCCCACTGACCTGGGGGAGCAAGGGCAGGTGGCTGCTCCTACCTGTACAGGAAAGGTGCGACCGTGGCAGTGTTGGGATGGTTGTATTGCTGCTGGGGCTGAGGTAGCTGAACACTGACGGTATTGCTTCCTGTGGTCTGGGTGGTCCCCACGGACCCGCTGACCGTCTGGCTGCTGATGCTGTGGTTCAGGGTGGTTCCTCCTGGGCCTTTTCCTTCTGAGGATGCCAGGCTGGAGGAAGAGCTAGAGTGTCTGCCATCCAGCTGGGGCTTCTGCTGGGGGAGCCCCGAGTTCGGCCTTGCACTCCCCCTCCGCTCCCCTTCCTTGGAAGGTGCTGGGGCACTTGGGGCTTTCCCGGGCATGCTCTTCATTCCTGGTTTTGGTATCCCACTGTGGGAAGGGGCCGTGGGCTCCTTCTTGGCACTGTTGAGCTTCCCCCCTTTGGGGATGAAGCTGGCGATCTTGGAGGACTTTTTTGGCATCTCGGTCACGGTGGCTGCACTGGGGTCTTCTTTCGGCTCCTCCTTGAGGTCCAGCCGCTCAGTCACGGAGGCTCTCTTGGCGAGGTCCTTGCCTTTCTCCTTTTCCTTCTCCCGCTGTTGTTTCTCCTTCTCTTTCTCATTGCCTTTTGGTGAATTCTTCTTGTTGGTCAGCGCCCGGCTGAAAGTCCTCTGTGCAATGCCCTTGAGCGCAATCTTGGGGCTACTGGAAGCAGGTCCCACTGCGGACAGTGTGCGGCCAGCAGCCTCTAGCTCCTCGCTCTCCTCAAAGCTGGGCAGGATCTCCAGCCGCTCGCAGCTCGTGTCCCGGGACCCTGGGCCCTCACCTGCCTTGGAGCCTCCTTTACTATTGAAAAGTTTTAGTTTCTCCAACATGGACTTCTGATTGTTGGGGGCTGGCTTCATGGCTTCAGGAGGAGGCCTGGGGGCCTCGGGCCCAGGTGGCTTGACGGACAGCATGGACGCTGTGGCACTGTGCTTCACGCTGAGGGACTTGCTGCGCCAGGGCTTGGAGGCCGAGCCGGGCAGCGGGATGGCCGAGGAGGTGCTGCAGTTAGTGGGGGTGGAACTGCTGCCGCTCTCCAAGGAAACAGGTGCATTTTCGCTCATGCCGAGGTGGGAGGAGGCTGAGCTTGCCAATGACTCTGCAGAAGACAGAGAAGAGAAGGAGACTTGAACCACGTCTGCTGACCCGACATAGCCCATCATCCCAGCCCGGACACCATATAGCCCCAATATCTGCTTTGTGGATTATCTGCGGTTAAATTTTAAAAGCTGTCTCAACTTCCTCTTGCTTTCTAGGCATAGTTCATACCGCCCACCTGCACCCTGGTCACATTTTGGTGGCAGGTGCTGTGCCAATGCATATTGATCTTCACAGTAAGATGTGCAAAGCATAACTAAGAACATAAATCTATGAAAACCAAAAACTCGCACCTCCAATAACGGGGGGGTATAAAAACAGTAGGAAATACCTACCATTTTGAATTATTCATCCCACAGCCTGTTTACCAATAAAGCCAAAGGATCAAGAATTATCCAACTTTAGGGAAACAATCAATGTGGCGGAGACATTAAAATAAAACAGATCTTCCCCCCCCCCAAAAAAAACCCAGAAAAGGAGGAAAAACCAAGTAGAATTTTTAGAGAAGAGTAACGATTCACAGAAGCTATTAAATCCTATCAAAGTACATAAGTTTTCTCTATGTTGGCACTTTTCAAGAGTTATAAACATGACTCCCCTTTGACTTTTAAAAAACAAACTTTTTTTGTTGTTACTGCTTAAAAGTATAATCTCTGCAGATGGCTCCAGTATAGGCATGAAAAAAAAAAAAAAGAAAAAACGCACAGGTTATCTGTAAGTCAAGGCTTCCCCTTGGCACTCAGTGTTTCCCTGGCTGGACTCTTCTCAGCAAAGCTTGAAAATATTTTTAAACTAGAGCCAGAATTATTCTCGCAAGAGCAGGCTCCAGACTGAGAGTTTGCTAGCCACCAAGGTGGCCCAGTATCGCAGGAATGGAAACTGTGGCTCCCTCCAGCTTCAGGCAGCACTGGGAACTACGCAGCCCTGTCTCCCAGAGAAGGAGGGCTGTTAGAGAAAGTGGCAGGAAGGCAGGACTCCGACTCGGTCTCTCTGAGCCGGTGCCCACGCCCGCCTACGCCCCACGCCTGCTGTGCGTGGCCGCCAGGATGCGCCCCCTTCAGCCCCCAAACCGCACCCCTGCATCTGCAAAGTCTGGACGACATGACTTACCTAGCAGCAGCCACTTTCTCCTGCAATGATTCCCCAGGAAAAATTCTCCGACCGGAGAGGCTGCCCTTCCAATTGTCACAAGTGTTTTCGGTTAAACTGCTCATGTTTCTAATTAACTTTTGTCATCCACAACTACTCCGGTGCCCAGAAGCTTGGCGGGATTAACGGCTGCTTCTTCTGCTCTCTCTTTTTTTTTTTTTTCTTAATACCTATGTTCCGCTGCCTTCTAGCAACAGAGTAAACTGTATATAGAGCGGCTTTTTATGATTTAAAAGTCAACGGCCGCTGCAGCCAAGTGAAGGCTGCCCCTGTGTGGGGCGCAAGCACGCAGCTCTGCGTGGCGGGAACTGCTTCCCTTCACTTACTTTCTTACTTTCTCGGGCTGCTCGGGAAGCCGCAGCTCCAGGGTGATCCAAAGCAGACCTCCCAATGTTTTAAAACACATACATCTTCCTGACTTACTGGGGATTTGGGTTTGGAGGGGAGGGTGCTGCACAATCCTCCCTAACAGAACTCATGGGGTGTTGTTGGATCTTTTCCTGGGGAGAGCCAAAGGCTGGCTTGGAAACAGGCTCAAGGAACCCACCCACACTGCCCGGCTGTTACAGGGTCTCCACAGGCTTGATGCTGCCCACTGCCCAGGCCTACGCAGTGTGTCAGGAGGTACAGAACTCGGCATGAAAAAGGAGGAAACTGAGACTCAGGTAGGGCTACAGAGTGACCCTAAATTACACAGCTAGAAATGTATAGATCTGGGCTTTGAACACGGGTCTCCTGCTGCCGATCCCTTAGGGAGGACATGGAGCTGCCTTCCCAGATGGAGAACACATGTACAACAGCCACTTCAGTGACAAGAGAGCTTTCTCAGGTGCACTACAAACTAGCCCAGCCTGCGTCCCAGAAAGTGGCTCTCTGGTTGAGATAACAACAATCCTCAAATTCTGAGTACGACTCCTCTCAGGACAACTGCCTTTCCCTCTATCTGAGCTCAGATCTGGAGCAGAAGTAAAACATTCATTCATTCATTCATTCCATCTATTCACCCATTCATCTGGCTTCTCATATTTGCCAGATACTGTTCTAGGTACTTGGGATACACTGATGATAAAACATACCAAAAGAATTCTGCCTGGGGGTAGCACCTATGGCTCAGCTGGTAGGGCATTGGCCCGATATACCGAGGGTGGTGGGTTCAAACCCAGCCCCAGCCAAACTGCAACAACAACAAAAAAATAGTTTGGCCTTATGGCGGGCACCTGTTAGTCCCAGCTACTTGGGAGGCTGAGGCAAGAGACTTGCCTAAGCCCAGGAGTTGAAGGTTGCTGTGAGCTGTGTGACGCTGCCCAGGGCAATAAGCAAAATTAAATTAAATTAAATTAAATAAATCTCCACCTGCATGGAGTTTGCAGTTCAGCAAGGAGGAAATAGATAATTAATTAACAAATAAATTATATCATTTGTTAGAAAATAAGTGCTAAGGAAAAGTGAAGCGGATCTGGGGACAGATGGCAACACTGTCCTTGCAGAAACTACAAGACCACATTGAGAAAACTGCTTCTCTTCTCTAAAGGTGTTTTAGGCACAGGTTCCATGTGAACGTGGATCACTGTGACCTCTCTGCTTAAAACTCCTATGAAGCTTGCTCAGAGTGGTTTTGACAACAAACTACCTACCTGCTATTTCTATGCATGTTTAACACTAACAATCATCCACATCTAACTAACAACTGACCCAGAAGAGAACAGACACTGGGCTGGTCTAAGTGAAATAGCCAGAGTCACTGAAAAGGTGTGTCTCATTCAAGAAAAGGTGAAAGGTGCAGGGAAAGGGCCTCCACTCAGGCAGGTGTGATGGCCACTTATGCAGGCCATGCCAGAAGAGTCCCTGGGGACCCCCACCTGACATTTAAACCTCAGTCTAAACGCCTCTTCCTCTGTCAGGCCATCTGAGACCCTCAGGCTGCTTGTCTATATCGCATGGCATTTTCCCTACTGTGTGCTTCCCTAGGATTCGGTCCATACCCTCCCCATAAAAGAATGTTTAAGGGTCGCCTGCTCTACACTGTGCTCTGGGAACACACTGAATAAAGCTCCTGTCCTCCAGGAACTCACTGTTTAGGGGTACAGTAGACCTTAAAGCAAACCACAAAGCCAATGTCAAGAGAGGTAAGAACTATGAGAAATAGGGGTAGGCTATACTAACTGTCCCTGGAGAGTTTCGGAAGCCTTCCTCAAGGAGGTCTGGGATTTCCTCCTGGACAGAGACTCCTTCCCTGAGTCATCTCTGTGTCCTCTAAAGCCTGCTGGAGCATAAAAATACTTAGTAAATAATTTCTGGAGTGTTGGTTGGTAGTTTTGACATTTGTAAACCACACTTAAGGCAACTGAGATAGAGGATTTGTGACGAGTCATTAGAACTTTTCAGCCTAAACACAGGAAAAAATTCACAAACCCAGAGCTTCAGAATTTTGACTTAGCAATTAGCCTGGGGTCCCTTAGTTGGGAAATCATGGGGACATTTCAAGGCTACTCATTACAGATATAAAAGGTAGCCCCTGGGTATGATTCTGAATTTGGTTCTAGAGCAAAAGTCTTCTGATAGGGCAGCAGGGCATCTGTGGACCACGTCATCAACACTTGGTACTCATGTGATGGCAAGACATCCTCTAATTGGTACCAAGGGCTTCAGGTCATGAGCGGTATTATCCAGGGTAATCTTGACACATTTCTGTCATTCTTAGGGTATCCTACTAGTGATCTCAGATCTTGGCTGAGTGGCTATTTAGGGCCGGTTCCTCTTTCTTTAGAAAGCAGCCGCTTCTAAGGTCAGGGTCCTGTGACCCCCCCGTATGAAACTTTCCCTATCAGGCTTCTGAGATAGGAAGATAAATGAAAGGGAGGTGATGGCAGGTAGGTTAGACCTCAGACTTTGTCACCAACTAATGGTATGATCCTAGATTTGCCCTTTTGCCCCTCTGAGCTTCAGTCGCTCCACTTGTTAGAAAGGGGATGAACTATTTCTCTAGAGACCTTTTAGCTTTGTTCCTATGCAAATTTCAGCAAGTCTCTGAGAGACCCTATGAGGCTGGGCCATGGCCAGTCTTGTCTCATGGGCCCCGTGAATGCAGCTCTCACTCTCTAAGTTCTATACCATCATTCTGTGCTATAGCATGTGGGACATTTCTTTATCTTCAAATATTCCCCCTCCATAGTTCTCTTGGATAATGTTTTCTAACAGATGGAGAAAACTGGCTGGATCAAGGTATAATTAACCTTGTGAATTCAGAAGAAAACAAGTCTAAGGAAGGGAGGGTGGAATGAGTTCTTTAAAATGAAAAGCACTTCTCTTCGTAATAACTAACAGCTCTTATTATTTTTCCTCCATGTACATGAACCTTTGTTAGAACAGAGGAACCTAAGAGGAAGAAAAGAGAAAAGCATAGAAGGACGTTATGAACACCTGTACTCCCAAACAGTGGGAGTGCGTGTGGGCCACTGAAATGGGTTAGATTATTTCAGATGGCACATGAATGAATACTTTTATATTTTAAAGGTCATGTATTTATTGTATTGCATATTACTGAAAGATAAGTGGCCCACATATAGATTAATAGTTTCACGAATATTAAATGTAGATTTAAAATTTGAGTTGAAAAAAAATTTGAGTTGACTTCAGGGAAATACAAAATAAATAAAAACACGAGTGGTTCACAGATTTGGCAAAAATCATACAGAAGATTTATGAAAGACTGAAGTTGGGGGAAATGCCATTTTATTAAATCAAGATATATTCATTTTAGGCTAAATCTATTCTTTTGGAAAAAATGTAATCAACCAAGTAGAAGTCAAACCAGAAGGCTCAAATGAGGACTAGGTTCAAAACTAACCTGAT